GGCTTGGAGCAACCTGGGCTAGTGGGAGGCGTCCCTGCCCAGGGCAGGGGGTGGGACTGGATGGGCTTTGAGGTCCCTTCCCACCCAAACTATTCCATGATTCCATGATTCTCGCTGGTATTCCAGCTCCTCTCTTGCAGGTAACACCGTGAACCCCGAGCACAGGAGCTCAGTGAAGTTTATTTTGCCAAAGTGAAAACAACTGTGACAGGACTGTAGAAACAAACCAATTCTTGTTTGGGTTTATATTTTACTATTGCCCATTCCCAGTGTTGTTTCTTTTGCTTATCTGAAGGGAATCAATTCCTGGATGGGTGACCAAAGCCATCCATGCATGTGAGTTAAATGAAAAGCAGCTCCCAGGCTGTGCTGCTCCTCCATCCCCGACGTCTGGGAGCCAATCTGGCTGTCCAGGAGCAGCTCCAGACTCACTGTTCTCACTGCTGACACTCCAGCTGACAGCAACAGGGATTCGTCTGCTCCCAGATCCCCACAAGAAACACCCGGGAATGAACCTTGTGTTTGATCTGGCACAGTCAGCACTGAGAGGGGCACGAGACCTTCATCCAGGGATGGAACTGCACGGCCACGAGTGGCCAAGCCCTGTTTTGGGAAGTTAAACTGTAGATTATCCATACCAGTAATCCCAGTGTGGCTACTTGGGGTTTGCTATAGGTTGAGGAATTGGAGTACTATGGTTTCCATGTTGGCATGAAGAAGTTCAGGCATAAATATGATTACTGTGTTTCTGGCAGGCCTGAAAATTCCACTGCACTCTCATAAATAGGGAGAGATGCCCCCAGTTGGTTTTGTGGGTTTGTTTTCCTCTTTTATTTAAACTACAGGAATCTGGTCTCCTCAGTCCTGGAGCCAGCTGGAACAGCAGGACACTGTGCTCCTTCTCCATATAAAGTGCCCAATCTCTCATTTTCTAGTTCATCACAGCAAGATTTTTGATCCTATTAAATATTTTGGTCAGTCTCCTCAAGGAAGGGTCTCAGGTTACTTTAACTGGAAGTTCCATACTTGGGTCCCATGTTACTGAAAGCTCCTTGGAATAGGGATTGCAGCAGACAGATTTATGGCAGGCTGAAATTGCCCTTTAACAGGGATAAAGGAGTCAGATAGAGAATTTCTTTAGAGACTTGTGTGAACAGTGAAATGGGTCCTGATGAAAATTTTGGATATCAATGCCCTTGTTTTAAGTAAACTAGTACTGATCAATGCAGCTCTTCCCCAGGGTGCAAACTGTAAACAGGGGGAGTAAACAGATTTACAGAGAAGAAAACCTCTTGTCTTTTCTGTAGGTTCTTTTGCAAAACACTCACTCTCAAGCTCTTCTGTCCTGCAGGCTCTGGGTTTCCCACTGTTGCTGGGTTTGCCTACATGAAAATGTAGAAGAACATTTAATAAAATCCACAAACCATTTATCTCATGTCTGTTTGCGTCTTGTCACTTTGAACTGGCTCTTTGCAGCCATTAAAACGCTGAAAAATGTGGAGTTTGTTTCATCCAGAACTGGGGTTTCCCCTTTGGTGACATCCTGCCCATCAGTTTGGTTTTCCTCATGTTTAATCTAAAATGGGTTCATTGATGAGTCTTGGCTTTTGTGGGGGCCATGTGACTTTGGGAAAGCTTCGGCAGAGTCTGTTTGCCACAAACCTCCAAAACTGGGCAGCTGGGACTGGCTGGAATAACTGGAGTTGTTTCTCTGGCTGTTGGGTGCAGGTGCCTGTGTTTCTCACAGTGGCTGAACTCGCCCCTCAGCCTTGGCAGCTGGATCTCAGCTCTCTGCTCATTGTTAGAAATCCACGTGGATCCAAAGGGCTTTCTCAGTGGAGCCTCAGCCCCAGGACTGGACGCACTGTGGAGCTACCTGGGGGTGTTGGATGAAGATCTGGGCTGGGCTGAGGTGGGAAGGGCTGTGTTGGATCCTCCTGTGAGCCCCAGAATGTGGGAGCAGGGTTGATTCCAGGCTGGCTGGGGCTGAGGGAAGCAGCTGCTCGAGATCTGTCAGCGTTGTGTGTGCTGCCATTGCCATGGAAACAGGAACTGGCTCCGCACAAACCACACAGGGATGTCAGAATTGCATTTTCAAAACAAGCCCGAGCTGGTTTGTCATTTCTGGTCCTCAGAGCCCGAGTGGTGCCGCACAGCCCGGGGCAGGGGTGGGCCTGTGAATCCACAGGGACTCATGTTTTCAATTCATGTTTGGAAAAGTGAGCTGGTATTTGATTAGCAAAGTGCATTTATTGTATTCAGTGCATCACATGCTCTTCCAGACACCTGAGGCCATCCTAGAGTTCTCCTCCCTTTGCCCACCTTCCTCCAAAGAAGAGGAAGGGATCCTGGATGATCCAGGTGTCAGCCAGTTGGCAAAGTGTCCTGTTCTTAAAAAGGCTCATGAAACACACAACTGAAAATTTGTGAGTTTGTATCATGAGCCACTTTATATTTTTTACTCATGAAAATGAAGGGAGATCCATTTTGGGGCTCCTTTGTTTGCCCTGGGGGACACTGGCTTTGGGAACAGTGCCTGGGAGCCAGAGCAGCTCCCCAGGTCAGCATTGCTACAGCAGGAAACAGGATTACACTGGTGGGACTTGGTGCCTCCCAGGGTATTGTACAAAGAACAAATCACACATGAAGTTCAGAGAATCCTGGAATGACTTGTGTTGGAAGGGACTTGAAAGCTTATCCAGTGCCACCCCCTGCCATGGGCAGGGACACCTTCCACCAGCCCAGGTTGCTCCAAGCCCCGTCCAGCCTGGCCTTGGACACTTCCAGGGATCCAGGGGCAGCCACAGCTTCTCTGGGCAACCTGTGCCAGGGCCTCCCCACCCTCACAGGGAAGGATTCTGAGCTGTTTTCATGGATCTGTCAGAGCAGCTGGGCAGTGTCACACCCACTTGGGATGTGCCTTAGCCGTGGTACTGAGCGAGGACAGCAGGGCAGGGAAAAGCAGCTAAAGCTGTGAGTGCAGAATGGTTTCATCTCTACATTTAAGTAGCTCTTTAATTTATTGGTCTTCCCAAGCTGTGCCACGTGATGCTGCACTACAGAGAACACTGGCTGGTACTGAACCAGAACACAGCACTGAGCTGGACCTTCACTTTTTGAATGCAGCAGCTTTTTTTGCCATTGACACCTGAAGCAGTAATAAATTGTCTTAAAACCCCGCCAATAATTGTATGAGCATTGAACTTTATTTAAGAGGTTCACTGAGCTGGCAATGAGCAAACCTGACCCGTTACTTCAGCCCAGCACCTGAGCACAGGGATGAGTTCAGTCACCCTCATCAGGGCCTACAGCCTGTGTCCCCAGGAGCCCTTCGAGGAGCAGGCAGGACAATCCCCTTTATTCCCACACTGCAGAGCCATGGAATCATCTCCATAAATTCCGACGGTACTTAAGCACAGAATACAGAGAAGGGTCTGACTTACAGATCCGATGGAGAAAACCAGACCTTGGGACATGGCAGGTGTTCAGAGCTGTGTAGCAAGGATCAAACTGGAAATGGGCTGCAGTGGCTGGACCTGGGCTGGACAACCTGGGACAGCACACCAGCAGCAAACCCAGGAAGGGCTGGTCCTTCTGTCGAGGGCAGACAGACGTGTCTCACTCACACCCTTGCTGTCTTTAACACAAAGATTTCCTACAAGCTGTGAATTATTTATAATTATTTATACCAATTTATATCAATTTATATCTTTTAAATCAAGCTATTAGTTGCACAACTTTTTGGGGATGAACCAAATTACTGAAGTCCTACTATAGATTTGCAGCTCTAGCTATGAGATGTGGTCACTGTACAGGAGCTCAATGGTGCCGAGGGCTGCCCCAGGCTGGGTCACAGTGAGGAGGGAGCAGCTATTGAACCGTTCAGTTCTCATTCCCAGCTCGTGGCTCACCTGCTGGACAAACCCAGCACTCGGGAGAAGCAGTTCTGCCCACACAGGTGGGACTGTAGAAAAGGAGTCCTTGGCTGTACATGGCTTCCACAGCAGCTTTGTTACATCAGGTACAAACTGTACAAGTCCTCCAGGTTCCAAAGTGTTGTAAATGGCAGAAACAGTTCAGCCTGTGTTTATAGACTGGGCTTAAGTGTGAAGATTATTTCAGATAAGGACCAGGCTGAGTAACCGGCTCCATGTGACAATGCTGGTTTAATACAACCTGCAGCAGTACAAGTATGTACATATGTACAGTGGCTCCTCTTCACCTGCTGGCTGAGCACACTCGGCACTTTATTCTCAGCTTCCTTGGAAGTAGGAAACACTGGAGTAGAACTGGTTCAGTTTTGCAGCACCCCAAGTCCTTGGGTTGGGCTCTCTGTGCCCCGGGCCTACAGGACCCCGTCGCTGAAGCGGGACTTGTAGTCGCCCAGGTCGTTCTGCAGGTCTCGCTCCTCATCATCTGCAATAAAATCACAGTTCAGTTCCAGCTCAGAGCTGATGTGAACAGTGACCGAGCACCCCGGTGCAGTTCCCCAGGACATGGGCCATGGGCCCAGCAGGGACCAGCCTGGAGGAGCAGCACGTGGTGCCAGAGCTTAGGGTGGCAGCTCTGGCTGCAGTGCCACCAGCTCTGGCTGCAGTGCCACCCACCAGCTCTGGCTGCAGTGCCACCCACCAGCTCTGGCTGCAGTGCCACTCACCAGCTCTGGCTGCAGTGCCACTCACCAGCTCTGGCTGCAGTGCCACTCACCAGCTCTGGCTGCAGTGCCACTCGCCCCACAGGCTGGCTGCCCCCAGGGCCTGCACCACTTACACTGCTGGCTTTGAGACTCCTACTATCAACACGGCAAACTCTCCCACTGAAACCCAACTCCTGTGGAAAGTCCCATTCCCAGGTTTCACCCATTCCAGAGTTCACTCAGGCTTCACAGAACCTCTGGGACTAGCACCCCTTCCAGACCAAGGGAATAGTTTTCCCACCTACTTCCCAGCTGGCACCTTCCACACAGACGTGGCATGGCACATTTTTCCCTGATGGGATGTTTCCTGATGCTGGAATAGACTTTGCTGTCAGTGTTTTTCCAAACTGCTGTCTTGTATCTCAGACTCATGGGTAAAATTTGGAGAGGCTTTGGAAAACCTTTCCCAGCCTTTTATCCACAGAAATCCCTGTTCTCCCTCGGCACACTGGGCCAGGGAACACAGGCAGGGGCTCGGCGGGCAGGGGCTCTCTCAGCCCCCAGCTGCCTTTGGTTCCTCTTCCCAAGGGAGTCCCAGCTCTGTCCTGATGGGCAGACGTGGATGTTTCACCTTCCCTTCCAGCCCCAGACACTGTCTGTCTGTCTCCACACCTCTCCTCTGTCCTGGTTCCTGACTTTGCTGCTTGGAGTTTGGCCTTTGAGCCTCCTGAGAAATGGTAAAATAACCCCCCCAGAGTTGTGCCCCCTCAATGTAACCACTGACTGCAGCACATGCAGAAAATCCACAGAGAAAATGCACATTCAGTATTATTTTATGTGATATTTTAAAATATTCCACATTCTACCTGCCACAATCCAGCTGTCCCATGTGGCTCCCTGGCCTCTTTCCCTCAAAGAGTGAAAACCCCACAAAACTTCCATTTGTTCCAATAAATGAGCTTCTCCTGCACCTCAAAGCTGTTCCCTCATATTCAGGAGATGGTTGTTCACAGGAATGGAAAGCACAGTGTGAGCTCACCCATCTCTCACCAGCTGCCTGGAGCTCTCCACACACCCACAACCCATCGCCCCTGGGCCAGGCAGGGACCCGCTGGGCACCTGCTCCAGCAGCAAAGGGCTGGAGTTTACCTGCATGGCACATGAGAAACTGCCACACAGCACCTGGACATCCTGGAGTTCCTCCCCCTCCACCACCCGGGCACCACAAACACCCTTCCTGCAGCAGAAGCCGCCGCCTTCAAACACGCCCTGGCCTTCAGAGGGCAGGGACACCAGGCTGGGGCTGCCCCTCCCCAGCACATCTCCCACAGGGGAGGATTTTCCCTGCATAATTTCAATCTAAGCCCACACATTCCTAGTGGCAACAGAAACCATGTGGAATCCAGTGGCTTTGTGGCACGTGCTGCAGGCTTTTTTCAGCCTGGTGCAATCCTGAGTGATGTTTTCCTGACAGTTTTTAGACAGAAATTCTTATTTTTTCCCATCCCTAAACAACTGTAACTACCCTCCCTCCAATGCCACCAGTTCTCCCCTCTCCTGCCCTGCAGAGAAATCAGTGTAATGCCTGAAGCAGACACTTTTCCTGGAATGCTGCCCCTGGAAGCACCAACTGGCTGCATTCAAATCACAGCTCAAGCCAACTCAACAAGTTATTAGGGAACAACAGAACAAAGGGCTTGGGAACTGCAGTTGGAGGTAGTAACACACTCTGCTCACACCATCCCTCAGTAAAAGGCTCCCAGAAGTCACCCTTTAACCTTCACTGACTCTCATTAACCCAGTCTGTCTATACAGAGACACAGAGGGGTTCACCAGGAAAAGGATTTTCCCCAAGTCCAAATTCCAAGCCACAAGAGCAGGGACCCCACACAGATGGGAGATGGTTTTATGGGCTCACTGTCAGTCAGAGCACTGCTTTTTCAAACACCCCTCACACTGCAAGCAACACAAGCACAATCTGGTTTTTAACAACCTGGCACCACTTGTCACTGCCTCGCACCCACCCTTTCCTAAGTGGCACATGGGAATGCTGTCCATGCCACTGGGAACTCTCACAGCACACCTGGCACTGACTCCTGAAGCCACACTCCCTGGGAAGGCTCCCCAGCCAGGTACTGGTGCTGATGGAGCAGCAGGAGCTCCGAGGGACAGGGACAGGGCACTGCATCCCCACAAGGGCAGCCACCTCCAGCCACCTGCCAGGAGGGGGGAACCATGAGGGGGTCGGGCTCTGATTCCAGGGAACAAGGAACAAATGGGGAAACGGCCTCAAGTGGTGCCAGGGGAGGTTCAGGTTGGATACTGGGAACAATTCCTTCATGGAAAGGGCTGTCCAGCCCTGGCACAGCTGCCCAGGGCAGGTGTGGAGTCTCCATCCCTGGAGGGATTTAACAGATGTGTGGATGTGACACTTGGGAACACGGGTTAGTGGTGGCCTTGGCAGTGCTGGGGGAGCTTGGACTCAATGGCCTTAGAGGGCTTTTCCAACCTCAGTGACTCCGTGGTTCCACGACCTCCCCCCACCCTCCCGGTGGGCAGCACAGCCGGGCTGTGGGCAGGCACAAGTGCCAGGCTGAGCGAGGCAGAGGGCACAGCCCAGCACAGCCTCTGCAGCAGTTCCATGGCCTTGGTCAGAACTTCCAGAGCTGCATCCTGAAGCCCAGGAAAGGAAGCACTGCAGTGAGGAGCTGGCCATGGCCCACTGCTGACTGAGGGCAACGGGACTAAAGCAGGAACCCCCCGGGCACTGGAGGGGTGTGCAGGGCACAGGGACACACGGGACACCCCCACTCCCGGCTCAGGACACACCAGAACCGTGAGGAACACGGCTCCCACTGCCCCAGCACCGACAGGAACACCGGGAATCACAGAACCACGGCGTGGTTTGGGTGGGAAGGGACCTTAAGGCCCACCTCATTCCACCCTCTGCTATGGGCAGGGACACCTTCCACTAGACCAGGTTGCTCCAAGCCCATCCAACCTAAATCCTGCTGTGCCTTCCTGCAGCTGCCAGCTGGGATGAGCAGATGACAGCCCAAGGATCCCCCTCTGGAGGGACAGGGGTGAGCACACAAACCCACTGTGAATTCTGAGCACAAGGGTCACAGAAAAGGCCTCAGCTGGAGCAGAGGGTTGCAGTTCATCAATCAGTTAATTAATCGCCCAGAGTTCTGATCCATCCTTTTCTTTCCCTTGTTCATGAGTTTCACACTCCCAGCCCAGCCCAGCCCAGCCTGCTGACACTGCACTTAGTGCATGCCCACACAATCAGCTGCTTTTTAACAGCTTTGCCCATTAATTATGCTTAGATACCAATTAAATACGTGTCTGAAAAACCTCCAGCTAAAAACTTACACTATGAGGGTCAAAATCAGGGGGCTGATTTACCATCTCCTGTTTTTCCCCCCTCTTTATTTTACACTTTCATTTAACTGGAAATGCTCTCTATGTACTCAAACATTCTCCCCCTACAGACATGCAGGCCTGTCCCAGATGTCCCCACAGCTGGATGGAGAATGGCAGACAAGGCAGGCACACGGCAGACAGCGGCAGGCACAGGCAGGGACAGCAAGCGAGGGAGGGGATGCAGGAGCCACATGCAGGAGGGGTGGCCATGCACACACAGGGGCATTAGGCAGCACTGGCTCAGGAGCTCGGAGGCTGGTTAGCAAGAACACCACAAGCCTGTTGAATCTGTGTATAATGCACAGGAGTGACACCTGGAATCGCTGCCTGAGGCCCCACTGCACAACAGCTCCAGGCAGGTGTGACCAGAGCAGCACCCAAAACACCACATTCCTCTGTTGGACAATTTGGGAATGTCAGTGCCCACGGCCCACCCAGCCAGGGGCCAGAGCTGGGGGTTTGGGTAAAACCATGGCTGGAATTTAGTGCCTTGCTTTTCCTAGCAGGAAGTACACCCAACTGCAGTGAGGTGTCAACACCCTCTCCCTGAAGACTGGTGCTCTGTCTGAGCAATTTGTGATCAGCTAAACCAGCGAGGCTTTACACAAATTCAACAAGTAACTCAGCGTGGATTTATCACAATGGGATGGAGATAAGGCCCAAGCTCACCTTGGACGTCTTCTTCTCCACCATCACCATCCTCTTCCTCATTGTAAGCCAGCTCAGCCTGTTTGTCTGCCTCATACTCACCCACGTTCCCATCATCCCCATTATAATCTGCCAGTTTAGAACCCTGCTGCGGGTCCACAGGGGATTCATTCTCATCAAAGAACCGGCCTGTGGAGTAGGAAAGGAGTGAGTCAGCAGCAGAGAGGAAAGAAACAGGGAGATTCTACACGAGAGCAGGTCACGGGTGGAGGCAGTTGGGGTCTGGGGTAGTTCCAGCTGGAGAGAGAGGAGGGAGAAGGGAGAGGGCTTGGACAGGGGGAGAACAAGGCTTATGGAGCACCCCCGTGTGGAAAGGACACGCTCTGTCACCCAGCACTTGGACCTCCTGGAATCTGACTGTCCCAAGCTCCTCTCCCCGTGGAGAAGGGCTGCAGTGAGCCCCCAGACAACCACCTTGCATTGCCTATGGACACTGACAGGTTTTCTCAAAACTCTGAAGAGCATCGCTCCGTGGAAGGTTTAGTATCCACTTTTCCTGAGGCCTGGCATTTTCCACACGCTGCAGGGATCCACTGCTGATGTGGTGCCTGGCAATGCCTGCAGGGTGTGCCCAGCTGGCACAGGGAACCCAGCAGAGCCCTGCCCTGCAGGCTGACCTCGGCTTGTAACCACCTCATTCATTTGGCTTTACACTCTGCTCTCCTGCTGAGCTTTAACGGGGTTCAAAATGTCCCGAATCCAGTATTTTCACCTCCCAACAAAAAATTAGGAATAGTTCCAGATCCTGAAACAATGCACAAGAAAAACGGGAATTAGCCGGAACTATGGAATGAGCAGACAGTCAGCCAGGCATCCAGGGAGAGACCACTGGTGTGATGTCCAGTTCAGAGCTGGTGTTTAACGGGATGCAGGGAGAGCTGTTCCAGCCCAGCACAGTGCAGGCTGCTTGAAGGGAGCAGCTCTGAGTCTGCAGAGGCCACAGGCCTGGAGGATTGGGTATAAATGAAAAAAATGGCTTAAAGTGTGATACAATCCTCACAGACTGGGCACCAAGGCTGCTGGGGCAGGTGGTGAGAGATCTGCAGTGGGAGTAATTAACAGAGAAGTAAACGGGAGGATGATTTCAACCTCAGGATTAAAAGGGGACAGATATGAAAATGAAATTATTTCCCAAAACAATGAAAACTTTTCTGTGTGGCAGTATATAAAGATCAAGACAGAAGCAGTACTATGGTTCTTCTCTGGATGGGGAGAAAAGCAGCAGAATCACACCCAGTGCAGCTCATATGGACAGAAACAGCAGTTTCAGGTATTTTCACAGAACAAGAAGAAACCATCATCTATTTAGAAATCCCAAGTTCCATACATTATTCATTCCCTGTTCATGTCTAACTGAGTAATCCTGGCTATTACTGCTGGTATTTTTGACACTGCATTATATGCAAAACCCAGACAGGACAGGAGGATTTGCACATGTCAAACCTAAACTGAGTCATGAAACACAAGGGAATGTACCCAACTTCCAGCAAAACCAGCCTGTGGATGTGCCAGAGGTACTGTGACACACAAGCACTGAATGAACTGAAGCTGACAGAAGGAAAAATCAAAATGATGAGGAGATCCCAGGAAATGCAGCAGGTCTACACAGGCTGTGAGCTGAGCTCAGTGAGCCCCTGGTGTGCAGGACCCCCCATAAGCCCAACCCACCCCATCCCACCCCTGCCACAGGCAGGGACATCTTCCACTAGCCCACATTGCTCCAAGCCCCATCTGACCTGGCCTTGGACACTTCCAGGGATCCAGGGGCAGCCACAGCTTCTCTGGGCAACCTGTGCCAGGGCCTCCCCACCCTCACAGGGAACAATTTCTTCCCCAAATCCCATCTAACCCAAATATGAAGGAGCAGAGAGAACAGACTAACCGGTGACAAGTCCTGGCTCCCAGGTACCCCCTCCCAGCCTACAATGGAGACATTTCCTGCACAGCTCCTGCCTACACAACTAGACCCCCCATCATTTAAAACATGGCCAGGGAAAACAGATAATCCATTAAAAACCCAACAACTTCAATAGGAAGGTCTCTCATTCCTGAAGCTTCTTCAGGAAGCTCCCTTGATAAACTAAGCAGCCTTGAAGACCTCAGGGTGCAGAGGTGAAGCCAAGACTGCCCAGGTTCTGTGCCAACCTAATACACCTATCCCTGCTGCATCACAGAGACCCACGAGTCATGTTAGAACAACCACAGTCTTCCCAAAAGATCTGTTTCTTCACAAAAATCTTATTTGGATAAAAAAACCCCAAGAGGAGATGTTTCAGCACTAAGTTTTCCCTCCCAAACACCCCTTCTCCACCCAAGCACTAAACAGTCAGAACTGGGTCTTCAAAAATAGTATCACCCACAACACTCACACCTGTGTGCACCTGCCTGGAGGTTCCTGCCTTGAGCAGATATGGAAGGGAAAGTTCTGGAACCACGTTCTGTCCAACACACATTGCCCCCACAACAAAGATCCCTGGTGTAAGGGCTGAATTCTTACAATATTGTCCAAAACACAGTATTTAAGTCAAGTAATACAGTGAGTAACTCAATATCCTGTGTGTATCAAAGTCCTGCCTTAATCTATTTAATTGTGCAGTCATTTCCAAAAGCATTCCAAATTCCAATAAGGAAATAATTTTTTTAAATAACTGAAAATACATGTGAAAAATAACACCTTAAAGCATATCTTTTACCTAGGAACACATTACAATCTTTCCCAGGCTCCCTCTCCAAAGCCACCCTCTGCAGTGGTCCCTGTTTCCCAGACAGGCACTACCACAGACAGAAAAGGAAGGGATTTGTTTAATTTACTGAAGTGTGTGATACTGGCCAACTTACTTTGCTTAATCTTCTGCAAGTCGCTAACTCGGCTCTTTGGGAGTTTTATCTGGTCTGTCTCAATTTTGTGCTCTTTCTGGGTTTCCACCTTTTCTTCAAACTTCAGGTGCTGGAGGGAATTTGGGGGGATCTGCTTCGCGAGGTCGGCGTTTCCATCACTGTCGCTGGGCAAACCTGCAGTGAGGAGGTGTCAGTGCCTGCAGGTCTTACACGGCTCCAGAGAAGGCAGAGGACGACTGGTCACATCTTAATTCCTAATCAATCCCACCTCATCACCTCCCCAGCTGACTTTCTGCACGTGCTTCAGCTCTCGAGGAAGCTCAGAACAACACATTCATGTATTTCCTTTATCCTCCCGCTGATTCTGCTTTTCAAGTCTACCAAGCATCATTTATTGCTTAGAGGTCTGATCTGAGGACAAGGGTGTGGCAGGGCACAGAAGTTATGCCAAAAACAATAACCAGAATCACAGGACTCCACAGCCAAGGAGCTGAGAAAACCCTGATTTCCCTGAAATTCCCATCAAACTCCTGTCCATAAACTCCAAGTTCAACAAAGCAAGCTTTTCACTTGCTGCATCTTATGTTTTCTCATCAATAAAAGTGAAAATGAAGGACCACCTTTAAAGGAAACAAGCTGTTTAAAAGATTTGGCATTTGGAAACAACAATCTTTAACTGTGTATGCAGCCTTTGAGCTCCCTCATTTTGGAATTCTGCTCACACATCCACTGCAAAAGGAAAGAAATAAAGAAAAACTTCTGTTGTCTTTTTCCAAAACGGGCAGAACAAAAACTTGGAGCTGTTTTGTCATCTTGACAACTTTATATTTAATTTATTAATATTAAAGTTATATTGCTGCAGGAGTTCCAGTTCTCATGTCCTAAACCTCCCTCACATCATTCTCAAGTGAGCTGTTCCCAGGGACAGGAGGACTCTGAGCAAGAGACAGGAACATTGGTTTATCTCTGACTGTGGCCACCAAGAGATCAACAACCAACCCCTGAGGGTGCAGCCCTAATTAGTACCCTAGGGAGGAACACTAATTTCAATTACTCTGTCCACTGGAGGACTCTCCAAGCACTTATCTTTGAAACTTCTAACTCAGATTTGGCTGAAATCGGCCAAAAGGCCCAGGAATTCTGGGTGTGGAGATCATACACCAAGCAGCCCGAGTGCCTCAGCCAGCCAGGTAAGAACACAACTTTGGATCCTGCAGGAATTTATCTTTGGTTTTCCTCTGGTAACCAAAATATTGCCTTGTCACCTGCTAACAGGAATTGTACCTGGTGCCAGGTTTGGAGCATGGGGCTGCTCAGTTGGAAGATTCACAACAGGTGGATGACCTTCACCTTTAGGAGCTGAAATAAGTGTCTTCTTTAAAGCTGAAACAAAACACAGGGACAAAAGCATTAACAGCAAACAAACAAGACACTGTTTACCTGGTCTAACTCTAACAACCCCGTAAAGTCTTTGGTTTCCTTGTTTTCTTGGTTTTAAACCACAGATGAAAATATAAAATACAATAATATTTCAGGAGGGGGATTATCTGAAACATTCAGTTTTGAGCATTCCAACCTCTAAAGCACAGCAGAAATGATCTGATTTTATATCACACTTGAATTTTATTACCACAGAGATTTCAAAGCCCTGCATTCCCTGTGAACCACATGGTGTTCACACACAATATATACGTCACCAAGACCCCAAACATGAAAGAATTAGAGTATTTCTCCTCACCAGTGGGAGTATCTTCAGCTTTTGCTGGGTCATTATCTTCTATTTCAGGCATGCCTGCATCTCCTCCTGCTTTGATTTTCTCTGCAAGACAAGAACAGGATATTCTGCCTTACCAACCTTTCAGTCTGAACAGTGAATTTCCCCCTTGTGGGAGGCTCTAACTTAGTAAAATCACTGCAGCTAATCAAGTTATCTGAGCCAAACAATTCCTTATTCTACTTCAGAGAAATGCATAGTTCTGGAAGATGGCAAAGGATGCAACACAAGTGGGCCATTCTCCATCAGAAATGCCAAAAAAGGAAATACCTTTGTCATTTACAACATGTTCTGAAGGCTCCTCATTCTTCTCTGTGTCTTTACCTTCCCCCTCTGCAACAGCCTCAGGTACTGCCTGGCCATCATTGCTGGGACTGACTTCAGTGTCTTTACTGGACTGAATTTTTTGTGTGGCCTGTTAGAACAAATTCATAAGGAGCCAATATTAAGCACATGCCTGGAAATTACAAAACAAATGCCCCCGAATTCAAGATTACTTTGGGTAAGCAAAACTGCATTTATGACCTCACTGATAGGCAAAGCAAAGAGCAGAGTCCTCTCTGTACAAACCTGGCTCTTGGGGTATGGACACACAGCTGAACAGACAATGCACAGAACAGCACAGCTGCAGGACATTTCTACTGCCAGATCAGCTGCTAAGGACAACACAAACAGCCTAAGGCATGGTTGGCCTCAAGCCTCAGGTCAGATCCCTGAAGGAATTCTAGACTGTAAGAAAAGATCTGTTGGAAATCTGCTCTCAGTCTGCCTTCTTATTTGAGATGTTTATAGACAGACAAAGGAAGAAAACAACATTTTAAGCAAAGTGGGTTATTTCATTAGTTTGCAGGAAAGAGGCCCAAATTCTACTGGCAGCTTCATGTAATCCCAGCCTTGACACCATTCCAACCCTGTTATTTCCATCACATTAGCACCTCGAGGCCTCAGCAGAGCTCAGGTTCCCTCTGCAATAACCTGGGCAAGGCTGTGGGAACACAGATCCCACCCTGGAGAGCTGAGCAGCAACATCCACGTTCCAGGAAGAACTGAAACCCTCAGCAACGCTGGATGGAGGAAGGCTGGAGCAAAGCAAAGAATCTGTTCTCATCTTCCAGCTCAGTCCACTGGCTGAGCAAACAGGCAGATTTCCTTCATTAACACCCATTTAGGGCTGCTCAGGGGGATGTTTAACACAGCATTAGGAGAGAACTGTCCCAGGCCTCCACATTCCTGAGGCAAACAGCAGACTTTGGGCTCTTCTCACTCAACACAAAATTCCCTGGCATTACCTTTTGTTCCCGTGCAACCTGGTCCATTAATTTCTTGATGTTCTCTTCATGCTGCAGCCTCATTTCCTTGATCTGCTGCCCACACTGCAGGCTTGAGGAGAAACACACCGTTAGATATATTTCATTTGTTGTATCTGCTCTCCCACAAATCAAATAAGGGGGAAAATATGAAGTGGCACAAAAAGCCAAACCTGAGATATAACTAGAATAGTCTGTCCAAAAAGCCTGGTCCTGGCATGTGTATGGAGTGGGAATGGACTGAATACAGAAAGAAAGCAGAACTGGAAAAAAATAGGGACAGAGCAGAAAAAAAACAGTAAAACAAACAGAATGGCCTTGAATATATTTCCTCCAAAAGCTGGAATGCAACCAAAAAGTCAAGCTCCACAGTTAATCTGTCAGCAAATATTAATTCTACCGGGAAAGCAACGTGTCTTTCATGGCTGTCAACAGAGAAGGTACACAACTACCACTATCAGTTACTGCTCCCAACTCAAATAACACAATCTGAATACACAGCCACGTGTCCCAACTTCCCTAACAAGCCACAGACATCAGCCTGAGCAGCAGAATTCCCATCTCCCACAAACCCTCAACAGCACAGAAAGAGCATTTTGTGTTTGTGAAAGCTTCCAACACTTCCTCAAGTGTTAAACCTCCCTCACTCCTCAAAGCTGCAGGAGTATATTCTTCCTGTTTCTCCATCACCAATTTAAAAGACTGAGGTCAACTTAAAATTTTAAGTTTAAAATTTTAAGCAAGGCTGCTTTCAGCTTCAGTTAAAACAAATGAAATTATACTGTTAGAAAGGCAGCAATTAACAACACTAGTGACACAGCTTAACGGACACAGTGTCCATTAAACTCTGCCACGTGTTTGTTAATTAAATCTCCATGTCATAAAAAATGCATTGACTTAAAAATGATGAATAATTCCAGAGTAAGTCAAGATTCCCCTTAACTCCTATCTCACTTTGAGGGACGAGTAGGACACCACCAAGAAACAGAACTTGAAAGTCAAACAGCTACCATTGTGCATTGCCAAGTGAGCACACTCAAGCTGGAGGATTAGCAGACACAGGATTAATTAGCACTTTTTAGTAAATACAGACCCCCATCACATGCACAAACTTGCAGTTGCCAGCACTCCTGAGGACACACCTGTCATATTCCAGCCTCCTCGTAAGGTAGGTGTTGTTCTTCTTGTACTCGTGCAGCTGATCCTCCTGGCGGATGAACTCCTGCCGTAACTCCGCCAGTTGTTCTAGGCCAGAAGGGAAACACCAACGTGAACTGAGAAATACAGGAAAAACGCCCTGGGGCAGACACAACCTTCAGTATTGCTAAATAAGTAAAAAACTGCTTCAGTTTTATGTTAGTTCATCTAGATATAAAGATTCTTACACTAATTTGAAGAAGATGCCACTTCAGTCATGCAAAGACAAGTGCCAGATGGCAGCACGAATTAGAGAGGTTCTTCTGATGCCATGGCAAACCCCCTAAATTTTTATTTACCTTAGCATTGTGTAAGGCTTCTGAATGCAATTTCACCATCTGTCAGGAAATGCAATTTCCTGAAAGATTCTGTGACTCTGAGTAACACAAAAGCACTACCAGGTTACTTCAGGCACGATGCTCAAACATTGTCTGTAGTGACTGTACGAAAGGAGGCACCTTCCCGCTATCCGTAAAATCAACACGTATTTCCTGTCTCCACAACTGCTCTGGAGGTTCTCCCTGCTCCTCAGGCTACAAGTAATTAAGCTTTCTGCTGTTTTAAGTTGCAGCTGCACAGATACAGGCGGAAACCACGTGTGTTGTTGTGTGCAGGCATGTTCACGTCTGGGCACTCGCTGCTCCAGCTCCCTCTGCAATACTCCAGACACAGTAAGATCACAGGCATTATAATCATGTCTGTACAGAACAGCCTTAAGAGATGTTTTCTGGAGCTTTTCTAACCCACCATAACCATCACAGTGTTTCTGATCAAACTATACTAAACTGTTATTTGGCCATGAAAACGATTCTACAGCCTTGGAGGTCAGCAGTGCCAGAGCACACGTTCCTTCTGCAGACAGCCACGTCCACAAGAGCCAACCCTGCACTTACCCACACCAGGTAACCAACAAATACAATGGGATTGCACATTATGGGATGTTCCAGCACAACCTGATCCTTCCTTTAAACTGCATTCTGCAGCACCTGGGCAGTTAAAGTGCACAGCTCCAGCCTGCCAAGTGAGTTTGGCCACGAATCCCTCACCCTTTAGCCGATGTATGTCCGCCATCTGATACGAGATGTTGTTCTGCAGCTTCACCTGGAAGGAAGAAAAGGCTGGATAAGTACAGCTAATGGGGGTTGGTGAGGGTTTGGGCTGCAAACACTCAGGTGTGTCTGTTTGCTTTGTAAAGTCAGTTATGGAGAGGATTATGGGAATGAAAAAGTTCTGGGAAATCCAAGTCCTGTGTATTTAGTGACATCACCAAACTAACACTGTGTTCAGGCTTTGCTAACAAGGGCTTAAATTTAATTCCAGAACACATTTCTATCAAAAAAGTAGATTGTCAGGACTAAAATAAACACGCTGCATCCTGATACTGCAGGAGGGACAGTGAATGGCCAATGTCAAAGCACAGGTGGGTAAAACTAAACCCGCAGCATCAACAGCAAAACCAACTGTTACCTAAGGTATATCATATAATAGAATTGTTATATTTAAATAAATCTCTTATGTGTTGCTACTTAATATTCCTAACACAAATTTTATTTTAAGAGGGAATCTGACACCAGTAAAATTCCACAACAGCTTTTAATTTGGTATTTTCAGTAAGGAAAAGAATACCAGTTACAGTAAGTAAGAAATGCATGTACACAAAGTCTTGAAGTAAAGATGCTTTTTCCTGTTGTTACATGAAGACAAAACCCAGCAGGAATGAAGAGGGAGATGCATGAACTGACTACGCTGAGAAAGGGTGGAAAATCCCCACCTGCCGTGAAGCACCCCAGAGGTTATTCCTCTTGCAGTTCCATGATGATAGAAAGGGTAACTCTAGGAAGGTGCTGAGTGGGGCTGTCACTCGTAGGGGACAAGGTCAGCATCACCTCTGGGGACAGCAGTGCCAGCACAGCCACTGGGCTGGCACACCCACACACAGGGGCTGTTTCAGTTCCCCCCAGCCCTGCAGTGTCTGAGTCAGTCATCTCCACTTCCTGCCAAAACAAACCCCAAACACACCTGCCCTGGAGGGCTTCCTGCCCCCACCTCCGCCTTCCCTTTGTCAAATCATTCATTCATTTCAAGCTCTTTCCCGTTGTGTTTTGTTGTCACCAGAGGCCCCCGCACTGGGCTGATCCCTTTGTCCCCTGTGGTGTGATCAGGCACTCCTGCCCTGGGACTGCAGCCCTGCAGGAACCGCTGCGGTGGCGCTTTGTGCAGCTCCTAGTGTACACGGAACACCATCCGGCAGCTCCCGGCACACAGCACAGCTTCCTTGGGATGCAGCACAGCTTCCTCGGGATGCACAGTGCTCCAACCAGAGCCTCTGGGCCAGCCTGCAGGATCCTGGCTCATCCCTGGCAGCAGGACACACGGCGGGGGGGGGCTGCAGGCCCTGTCCCATGCCTGGAACAAAAGCCAAGAGTTCTGGAGTGTGGAGGGGCACAACCACAGCTCCCACCTATGAGGGGACACAGAGCTGCTTCACAAGGCTTTTCCCAAAAAATGAAAGCAAGTGGAATTGAAAACTTAGGGATAGAGCAGAAAGAACAGTAAAATAAACAGAATGGCCTCGAACATATTTCCTTCAAATCCCAGAACGTAACTGAAAAGTCCAGCTCCACAGTTAATCTGTCAGCATTTATTAATTCCACTAGGAATGTGATCTTTGGGTAACCTGAGCCCCCTGATCACACTGCTCTGGAACAGGGAGAAAATACCCCGCCCCAAAGGACCCTCAAGGAGCCTCCTGGCATGTCAGAGCCATGTTTGCCACATGCTCTGCCCACCGAGGCATTCAAGGCCCTCTACTTACAGGATGCCCAAAGCAACACCCCATCCAGGGACAGCCTGGCTTGGACTTGCAGAGCTTCACTTCAAAAGCACAGGTAGCCCTGTGGTGGGGATTTCACAGGGAAAGAGGAGACACAAGTCATCACCAAGCCTTTCCATGCCCCAGGTGCCCACCATGCCAGCTCCCCCTCCCACAGACACAGGACAGGGGGAAGGTGCACAGTGATTTGTTGAGCACTAATAAAAAGTATGTTTCCCTATTTTGCAAAACCACTGACAATAATCACCACAATTTTCTGTTTTCCACTCTAATGCAGCTGTTTCTCAGAACCCAGTAAATCTACAAATGAAGGAGACCCTGGGAAGTAGTGAGGTCTGTTTTCAAACCCTCACGTCTCAGAATTCCTTGCATGCGACCCTTCCCACTGGCTCCTGCTCATCCCATAACCGCACAGCCTGGCCTGTGATCACACAATCTTTCATTTTGGTGATTCTGAGTTTCAGAGAGAAGTGACAGAATTTATATCCAGTTCAGCTGACAGCAAATGTCCCTCATCTGAAGGATAGAAAGGGAAGAAGCTTTTTTATGATTCATGGGATCTGTTCCACCTACACATGCAAATCCCACAAGCCATGGCGCAAGTCCAGTTCTTCCTGAGCCACATCCTCCTTCAGTCTAGACCTGTTTGTAGTGCTCAGGGCTCTTAGGGGCTCCTCAGGGCCTGTCCAAGCACTTGGGACAGAGAAAATAAACCCTCTGCAGCCCAATGAGCCCTGCACAGCAAAACCCACCAGAAATCCTGTGCATGGAGACATGGCAACCCTCCAGCACTGTCTGAGTTGTAAGTCTTGTCATACAACAACTCCACTTCGCTGCTGTGAAGCTGCAGCTTTGCGGTCCGGGGAGTTATCAGGGAATTTTGGCAACAAACAACAGACCCAGCTGCTCCCAGGGGTGTCTGACCCAAGCACTGCTGGGCAGCAGGGAAGGGCCAGGCTGTGTTCCTCCCCTGGCCTGGTCCCTGCAGCCAGGACCCTGCCACCTGCAATCTCTCCACACCAACTCCTGCCAGCCACGCCTTTTACTGACCCTCTTGCAAACGGATGTGGGAAGCTATGGAAAAAAACCACACCCTAATGGTATGCTACAAAAAACCATGGAATACTCAGGAAGCTGATGCTACCTGTGCATGCAGCACCTCCCCGAACTCCACGCAGGCACTACCCTTGTTTGCCTCTCACAGGGAGCTCCAAGAGAGAACTGGTTTGTTCCAAGGCACAAGAGATCACCAAGGAGCTCATCACAGGGTGACAGAGCAGAATTCCCAGGAACTCAAGTTTTTTCTCTTTCTTTTTAAACACAAGACACCAAGGTCATGGTCCCACATTTGCTCCTAAGAGCAAACATATCCCAGCTCATTCCACACCCCGGGGAGAGAGGGGAGAGCCAAATTTTGGGCTTGACTCCAGAGATCCTTGAGCCAGGGGACTCCAGAGACCCCTGAGCCAAGGGAAAGCTGCTGCAGAAACTGGAGTTGCCTCAGCACTGGGAAAGGCACTTGATTTATGTGACCACAAGACAAAGAACCTCAGCTAAGGACAAAGGAGCACAAAGCAGAACTGACACTGAGAACCACCAGAGCAACACCTTTCAAACCCATTTTCCATGAAATAAGCCTGGATTTGTTGTGATCACTTGATACCCTGGGAATTACCAGTGCTGGGGTTTTATTTGAGCTCCTGCATTTCATAAATGGACTATGATCACTGGTAAAAAGCAGTTTAGTCAAATAGACTTGCCAAGTTCTGTTTCGAGACAAAAAAAAATTATTCAAGTCTTTTTTGGTTGGACACTTTATATCTGCTCCCATTTTTGGTGACAGATCTTTATTCATTAAAACAAAGCTTTATTCTCTCAGAGAAGTACAGTCACTTAAACACAGTCACTTAAAAGGTGGTTTTTTTAGAGAAAGGTTAGAATTGTTGCCCCTGAGAAAAGACAATGGCTCACATGGGAGGAAAAAGGCCAGTGACTGCTTTTTGATAACATCCTGCTATTCTGGCCTCTTAGGGTACAACAAACATTTTAAACACAAGAGAGGGGATGGTCAAAGTCCATGAGCTCACAGGGCCTTAACTGGCAGCCTCTGGAACAAAGAAGGAAGACACAGGGTACATGCTGCAGGCGATGAACAGTGAATTTAACCTGTGGGGTCCCCCTGGCACGTTCCTCCTGCTGCCCTCCCTGTGCAATGTCCCACTCCCAGAGCACCCAAACCCCAGGCAGATTTATGGGGAACACCCAGTGCTCAGCAGGCAGGTGCAGCCCAACAGACCCTGTTTGTCTCCTGTGCATCCAGGGGCCCTGGCTCCCAGGAGACCATCCTACACCCCCAACAGCACCTGCACCTTCTGTCCCAGTGTCCTACAGTAACACATCACAGACTTCCACAAAAACACCCGTCTTGTACCCCTTGTCACAGAGCCCAGAAACTGGAGCACAGAATCACTGAGACTGGAAAAGCCCTCCCAGCCCAGGGATCCCCCCTGTGCCCCATCCCCACCCTGTCCCCCAGCCCAGAGCACTGAGTGCCACGGCCAGGCCTTCCTGGGACACCTCCAGGGCTGGGCACTCCAAACCTCCCTGGGCAGCCCCTGCCAAGGCCTGACCGCCCTTTCCAGGAAGAAACACTTCCTGAATTCTTCCTGATAGCTTACCTGAACCCCAACAGGGCAGTTCTAGCCTGCAGGTAGTTACACTAACACACCAAACAAGCTGATTGCCCCTCTGCAGACAGAAGGGGAAGTGTCTTGGCTAAAACCCAACTGCTTTAGAATCACTGAATCATTGAGGTTGGAAAACACCTTTAAGATCATGGAGTCCCTTCCATACCTAATTGGGCTTTTTAGTCCAATCTCGGGGGAAAAAAAATAAATTTGCTGAACACACAAAGGGCTTAATTTTAATGGTTCTGTAGGAAACTTTAATACAAACTTAATCATTTGAGGGAGTCTAACTCTGGAATGGGGCATGCAAGTATTCAGCTTTTTCTGACAATTAAATGCATTTTTTATGCGGCTCATCCTCTGTGTGATATACAGGGCCAAAAAACCAAACCCAGCCAGCAACAACCCTGAGAGTGTGGCATTTCCACAAATCCCACTGTGAGAACAGTGTTCAAGGAGCGGAGTGATGACCTGCATGCAAAAACACCCCGCACTCACCCTCAGCAGGAGAACTTGTGTGCTGAGCCCTGGGAAGCTCTGGAGATGGTTATGAAAGAGGAACAGTGAAAGTCGAGGCACTCACTCATCCTCCACAACAAAGAGATCCCCAGGCCACCCCCACTGAAAGGACCAGCTGAGTTTTGTATGAGCTTGGCTGCTCTAAGCCAAGCAAAATGACACGTTATGTCAGCAGCAGGATTTTTTTTTCCCAAGTACACGCTGGCAGCATAAAAATCAGAGTGTGCTGTGCCAGGCATTCCGAGAGGCAAGCTCAGGGTGCCACCGAAGAGCACACGGGTTTCATCTCCCTTGAAACTGCAGCTTTACGGCTCTGTCTGGGTTTTCTTGCCCGATCACAAAAGATCAAATAACCTCAGCAGAGACAGAAAGCTCAAAAAACAACAAGCAAATTTAAAACAGCCTTATGGAAAAGGGCGAGCTCGGGGGGTGTTCATTGTTCGCACACACCCCGGACGTTTCCAGCCGGCTTTGGGGGTGTTTTCAGAAACCCGAGCGCGCTGCAGTTGTCCCACAGCACCAGCCCAGCGCCTCGGGGCCCTGTTTCACCCTTGAGGAGCAGAGGCTGCGGGGACACCTTGGGCGGGGGAGGACTGACAGAGCCGCCCCAGGGCAGCGGGGACCCCCCCTTACCTTGCCGTCCTCGCAGCGCTTCACCTGGCCGTCCCTGGCCTGCAGCTGGCTGCTCAGGTGGCTGTAGTCCGCCTCCTTCTGCTCCAGCTGCTTCCTGTGCGAGTCCACCTTGCCCAGCAGGTCGGAGTTGCGGCGCTCCAGGCGGCCCCGCGCCACCTCCGTGCGCTGGGCCTGGCTCTGCAGCTCGGCCAGCTCCTCCCGCAGCAGGGCCTGGCGGGACGCCGCGTTCCAGCAGTGGAAGGCGAGCACGGCGATCACGGCCAGCAGCGCCACCAGCACCAGCGAGGGCAGGCGGCCGCCCCGGCGGTTCGCCCCGAACCCCACCATGGGGGAGGCCGAGGGGGCGGCGGCGTCCGGGCACCGGGGGGGCCGCGCGGGGGCCCTGAGGGGACCGGGGGCGAGGGGGAAAGGGGGGACCCCCGGGGGGGCGCTGAAGGCGGCGGGGAAGGGGAGCCGGCGAGGCCGGCGCTGTGCCCGAGGGGCGCGGAGCGGACGGTGCCGGAGCCGGTGCCGGAGCCGGAGGCGGTGACGGTGGCGGTGCCGGAGGCGGTGCCGGCCGGGCCGGGCCGGGAGGGACCGAGCGCAGGCTCCGGGCACGGACCGAGCTGGGCCCGCCCGGCTCAGCCGCCACCGCGGCGCCCCGCCCGCCGCTCTCGCGAGAGGAGCCCGCGCAGCTCTCGCGAGAGCGCGGCCTCGCCGTGCCCTGAGGGCGGGTCGGGCTGTGGGGGCGTCACAGCCTGGAGCGGGCGGGAGGGGACACGGGGACAGAGAGGGACGTTAAAGGACATTAAGGCTCATCCAGTCCAAACCCCTGCCATGGGCAGGGACACCTTCCACCAGCCCAGGTTGCTCCAAGCCCCGTCCAACCTGGCCTTGGACACTTCCAGGGATCCAGGGGCAGCCACAGCTTCTCTGCCCAACCTGTGCCAGGGCCTGCCCACCCTCCCAGGCAGGAATTCCTTCCCAATATCCCATCCAACCCTGCCCTCTGGCAGTCAGAAGCCATTCCTTGTGTCCTGTTCCTTTATCCCTTGTCCCGGGTCCCTCTCCAGCTCTCCTGGAGCCCCTTTAGGCCCTGGAAGAGGCTCTCAGGTCTCCCTGGATCGTTTTCCAGGTGAACATTCCCAGCCCCTCCAGAGCAGAGGGGCTCCAGCCCTGGGAGCATCTCCATGACCTCTCTGAACTCTCTCCAGCAGCACCACATCCATGTGCTGGGACATGGGCAGGAACCGGGTGGGCTGTTCACTCCTCACCTGGAAGGTGTTTCCTGAGGGAACAAAGCATGTCCTGGGAATGAAGTGAGGGGATGAGTCTTTTGTTTTGTAAGAAACACTCAGATACATCGTTTATTGCTGATCATGTTGCCTCACACAGTGTTACTGGTGCTGTGGCACAGGGTCTCACAGGGGAAAAGGGACACAGAGCTGGGCTGAAAGCAGAACCAGCTCCAAGCCTCAGGATGTGCTGCAGCCGCTCCCTCGGTGTGAGGGGAGATAAACCACAGCAAAGTCAGGCCTCCGAGTGGTCACTGACACACACAGACGCCTTGGGATCTGTTGGTTTTATTCCCCGTGATGTTATTTAGTAGCAGTTCTGCACACAGAACTTCTTCACACAGCAGAGGTTTTCAGGGAGCTCCTGGGCACAGCACATGCATAGCACAATCCTGCTGCCTCCAGCTGCAAATGGTCTGGGGAGGACGTGGGAGGAACAGAAGGGCATCAGTTTTCCTCCTAAAAGAACAAAAAAACAGCATTTAAGAAATAGAGTATAAAATCCATTCCTGAGACGTACCATACATTGTGCAGAATGTCAGCTGGGACAAAGGTGTCACGGCATGTACATCCCTGATTCCAACCTTACATCCCCCTATTTGCACTTTGGCACTTTAAGTGCTGCTACACTGATGGCCCATTAATTTGCCAACCTGCTCTCTGCAGATGGCAGTGCAGATTCACATTCCAAATCCAGCGTCGCAAATATCACCTCCTTGTGAAGCTGGACAGTTCCAGGGTTTGAGTCCACCTTGTTCACTTTGTTCTTTCTGGCTGCACTTACCCTGTGCCATCCTGAACACTCCGAGCCAGGAAATGTTTGCTAATTAACGGAAATAAAATATAAATGTGACAGATTTGAGCCCAGAATGATACCTGAGTTTATTTTATGTGACTTATACCTGGGTTTCACATGCTTTGGTTTTGTACCAACCTGTGCGCCTGCTCAGAAATCTCCTGTTTTCATGTAGTGCTCAGTGATGTTTCCCACTCTCCCATTTCAGCCATTTCTCTTGGAATTTATGTAATTTCCCAGCTCCTCGAAGTTCAGGGTCAGAACTGGTCCCTGCACATTTGTTGTGGTTTCCTTTGCACCTCTGGGAGCTGAGGGAATACCAGGGAGTTTTCTTTTTGCAATTAATTTGCCATTTAATTTCGGCTGTGTTCCAGGCCCCATGATCCTGTCCTAGTCTGTTCTTTTCCTGGTTGGAAAGATATTTCTGTTCCCTCTTCCTGGCTGTAATCTTGCGCTGCATGTTGGAATAACATATCCCATGGCATCTCCAGCTCAACCTCTGACCAGGATCTTGGCTGGTCCTTGCTTTCTCTGGCTTGTGACCTCCCCACATTACAGTGGGAATGGGGAGATCCTCTCCCTGCAGCACTCAGTGCTTCATCCTGAAACACAGTGCAAGCACGAGAATTAAGTTTTAATCCTTGGACCTATCATGGAGAAAGTGAAGAATGCAAAGAAGAACGTGTATTTGGGATTGTATCAAAATCTTGCAGATTTTTCTATGTATCTTTTCCATTTGTCTGCTGCTGATAATATAGTCAATGGCTATTTGACAGAGGAATAGTAATAAAGTAGCAAACTCTTATATTCATTAAGGTAATCAAGAAGAAATAATGCAGTCAGCATTTATGGATTTTTTTGTACATCACAGAGAAGAAAAACTGATTTAATGGAATTAATTTTCTGTTACCATTACGAGGTTGTCATAAAAATGTGCAGAGGTTTGACAATATAAAGTTATAGGTTCTGGAAGGTGTTAACATTACCCAAGGAAGAATGGTTAGAAGTGGTGGTAACTGCAGAGGAGTGCAAGCAGCAGCATGAGAGCCCTTGTCAAGGGAGAAAACATGCAAAAACATGCAAAACTGCCTCAAAAATTGAGAACCTGCTGGTTCAACCCTGGTGCTGTCACAGCCCAGGACGGGGCAGCCCCCTTGCTTGGTTTGCTGGTGAAATCCATAACACACATTTGATTTTCTTCTTCCCTTCAGATATTGCACTTTGCAAAGAAATTGCTGATTATTTACTTCCTTTTTTTTTTACCTGCTGTGAAGATGGAAAGTTTAGGAGCCCCATATGTGGTATTTTTAGAACCAGTGTTGTATTGTTGCTGCCCTGGCACTTTTATCAGTTAAAGCAATAAAACATCTGAGTTGTTGTTCTAGTCAAGTATTTTGATCCCTTCAGAATCTGAAGCAGGTTTCTAAATGAAAGATAAATTTAACTATGTTTATTTTTCATGCCTAATTTAACTCAAATATAAGAAGACAGTCTGATTTAATAATCTATTCAGCATTACAGAAAATTGGTGATTTTAAAAGCCTCTAATTAAATATTCTAAGATCCTGTTTCCTTCCACTGCATCAGAATGAACCTTTTTTTTTTATGTATTACAAGTTTGTGTTTTTTGCAAACATTCTGAACACAGAACTCAAATTATCCCAGACTTTTAGCATATCCTTAAAAACTGATTAACATACCCCATCTGTTGGTATGCTGAGCAACTGTCCAAATGAGCAACATTTCCATGGAGATTTATGAAACTACAGTTAAAGCAGGAAAACAGCTCTAGCAAGGGAATGCTGGGGTGTTTTATTTCAATATGGTCATTGCAGCTGGAGATTGTCTTGCAGAGTGGCCACCACGTCCTCACTTCAGAGCGGTGTCTGTTCACATTTTGGGTCAATAAAAATAGTTCATTTCCCTTGCAGCACATTCCATGAGTGCCCAGGGTGGTCATTTCCCAGGGAACAAGGAGTAGGACAATAGGAAACAGCCTCAAGCTGTGCCAGGGGAGGGTCAGGTCAGGAGGAACTTCTGCACAGAAAGGGTGGTGAGGCCTTGGCAGGGGCTGCCCAGGGAGGTTTGGAGTGCCCAGCCCTGGAGGTGTCCCAGGAAGGCCTGGCCGTGGCACTCAGTGCTCTGGGCTGGTTCAGAAGCATCTCTTTCCCATCCCTAATAAAGTGTAACTTTGGCTGCAGAAGCCAACTGAGGCCTGTTGACTTCCAAGGCAAATGTTTGCTGTATCTCTGAAGGGTGAGGGTGGCCCTGGAGCAGCTGGAGGAGGAGATGAATGGAATCAGTTCTGGGTTTTAGAGCTGAAATGGGGTTATGTTTATTTATGGCCACCTGAGGTTTGGAAATCTTTCTGAGAATAAGTGCTTTGGAGTGAGGTATCAGAATCAATCTCTTAGAACATGTTGCTTTATGAAAGCAGACCAGGGAACATCTGGGATCAACTCACCAAATGCCAGCCCAAAGAGCAGACCTGTATCCAGGGAACTGGGATTGGCTTGAAGCTGCATCCCAGGCCGGGAGCAGGGAGCACATCTGTTCCTGGGAAGCAGCTGGGGAGGCGCAGTGCGGAGTTTGGCATTTTGGAAAAAGGTGCTTTCTCTCGATAGCGTTTCACAGAAGAAAGTTTGTTTTCTCTTTTAATAGCAGCTCCAAGGGGCTGGTGGGATTCCTGAAACAGCAAATGACATTTCCAGCAGGGATAAAAGCACAGCTGTTGGCAGGAGCTCCCGTAGGTTATTGTGGATAATCACTGAAAAGGCAGAGCATTGATCGGCTGTTTGCAGGGAACTGTCCGTGTGGGAATGCAGAGTGAGTGGTGTGCTGGGAATGGCTTTGTGCTGAGCTTCCGAGAGGAGCTGACGGTGCAGAGCTCCCGGAGCTCCTGGGGATGCAAATCAGGCTGGGCATGCCCAGAGCAGAGGCGGGGGGATCCAAATGCCCCTTTTCCCTCGAGCAGGAGTGGTTGCAGGAAGGGGAAAGCGCTGCTGTGGATTTCCCTGGAAGGGGATGAGCTGCCGAGGAGCAGAGCTGCAGCCAGGTCGCTGGAGCAGCTGATGAAGGAGGCAGCCTGGGGAGAAAATGGGAGGCAAAAAGAAGAATATCCTTGGAGATGGGGTAGCGTGGCCCCGGAGCGGGTGCAGGAAGCCTGTGGGCATTCCCTGCTCCTGGAGGGAAAGGTTCTGTGTGCTGGGAAGAAGCTCAGCTGGAGTGCAGACAAGTATTTTAACACAGTGGGTTGCGGTTCTGTTGTCTCA